AGGAAGCACAGTGGCTTCGAGAGGCACATCTGGAGGCTTGAAAGGCCAGGGAAAGGGCAGCACTGGTTACTCAGAGCCAAAAGATGTCCCCTTGCATTGACCCTGAATTCCAGGAGAATAGACAGCTACCTCTCAATTCTGTGGCAAGGTGCTAAAAGCTACTCTTCAGCAACTCTGTCTCATGAGAGGTGAGAAGATGCCTAGAATTAGCAACCCAGAGCCCTAGGAAAGGCTGGAATTCCAGTCCCAATCTCCACCAAACTTAGGCCATCTGGCTGTATCAATTAAGCCATGTGTCTTCTTGGATACTGGCAGCTAAGGATACACATGGTTGGAGCAAGGCACTGGTGCCTCATACCTATATTTCTAGCCTTTGATCTGAGGATTGCATAAAAACTGGAAAGTTTGTGAGACTCTTACCTCCAATTAACTAGCAAAAAAAAAACCCTGGAAATGAAACTGCGGCCCAAGTGGTTGAACACCAGCTTTGAGTGAACAAGTCAAGTGAGAGTTTAAGGCTCTGGAAGTTTAAATCCTAAAAATGGACACACACACACACACACACACACACACACAAACACATGCACACACAACATTAGTGTAGAAACTTCCCAGCAAAACAGCCCCACCATGGGTATTGTGAGTGAGGGGGGGAATGGGCGCATCCCCTCTGCTAGCTGCTCAGGGCCCTCTCTGTGCATCTGTGGACACTCCATTCAGAAACCAGCCTCTCCTCAATGTTACCAACAGCCACAAGCATGCGGTAAGAAGTGGCATGAGTGATGATCACAGGATCCTTGGTAAAGTGAGCTTTGCAAAGTCATTTGAGACATTTTTCTATTCCCTCTCTGTTAAAGCTCTCTACCTGAAGTGGAGTTGGGATGTATGGCAGAGATGAATTTAGTAGTTTGCTGAACAAAGGGATCAAGTAACAATGATTACTGTTTACCATATACTCGTAAGTACAGTGTACCAAGAACAGTGGGAGCAGATCCTATTAATGGTTCTTTTGTCTCCTATATTGTTTATTTATATATTTTGTGCTGGTACTGGAGCTTGAACTCAGGGCTGAGTACTGTCCCTTAGCTTTTTCATTCAAGGCTGCTATTCTATCACTTGACCTACTTCTGTCTTCTTGGGGTTAATTGGAGATGAGAGTCTCTTGGAAGCCAGCAGCCCATTTGGCTTACATCTGTGAACTGAACTACTTAGAAGACAGAGATCTCTAAGGCTTGAGGTTCAAAGCCAGCCAGGGCTGGAAAGTTTGTGAAACTCTTATCTCCAATAAACCAACAATAAAAGCTAGAATTGCTAGCTCTGTGCAATAAAAGTCAGGGACAGCACCTATGCCCTGAATTTAAGTTCCTAAACTGTCATACAGAGAGGTAAGAAAGTGAGAGAGAGACAAAGAGAAAGAGAGACAGAGAGAGAGAGGGAGGGAGGAAAGAAAAAGAGGAGAAAGACAAAGGGAAAGAGAGGAGAGAGAAAGAGACACAGAGAGATTTGTTTGTCCAGATTGGCTTAAAAATGGGATCCTCAGATCTCAGCCTCCTGAGTAGTAGGATGACAAACATGAGCCACCAGCACCCAGCATGGAGTTTTTTTTATATGGTACCTATTTATACATTGTGACCAGAACTAACACTGTGGTTCTGATGAAGGCTGCTGAAGCACCTCCTGCCAGCCTTCTACCCAGACGTGTGCTGGCCCAGGAGTCATGAGAAACAAAGGGAAATCTGCACGTGCTGTTGAGCCATATTCTGGTCCTAGATACCATGATGGTCCCCTAAGGCTGCCATGGACCTGGAAAAACCCTATGGCCTAGAGACACTGTAGTCTTCTTAAAATTGTAGCACAATGTATTATTTCCATGTGTACTAAATGCTTTGTAAACAAACCACGGTGATGCCAGTCAAGCAAATGACAGCATGTCCAGTTACATACTCAACATTTCCCAACCATTATCTTAGATTATATTCCTTCCATTCATTATTATCATCTTAACAAATGCTAAAGAGCCTCCAAGGGCCCTTCAGAGAGTACTTCAGAAGAAGGTATTATTATGGGAAGTGATAGCTCCATGCATGTCACTTCTCCAAACCTTCCAAGGGCTAAGATGTGGAGTGGAAGACAGAGAACTAACAGTCCTTACTGTAGGCTAGTGTGTGTGCCTGTGTCCGAGTCTTCAACAGAAAAACAGGTATAAAAAAAGAAAAGAATAGAAAAATTCTTCAGTACTAATGTAAAGGAAATGCATTTACAGTTATATGATACCTTTGTATCCTACCCTAAGGACTATCAGAACAGAGCTCAAACCAAAAATTGAAAGTTTCTAAAGTGAAGCTTAGAGTCTCAAGATGAGTTTTTGTTATTAAGATGATTACTTTTAGTTTTTTTCTTTTGAGATAGGGCTTGCTATATAGTGGCTGCCTCCCTCAAATTCATGATCCTCCTGCTTCTGTTTCTAGAATTATATGCCACACGTGAAAATATTTGTCATACGCTGAGCATCCCAAGTGAACAGTGTTTCTAAAGTCCATATTGGCATAGTAGAGCACAGTGAATGCTTACTCACCTACAGCAGCTTCCAGACCTGTGCGCTCTAATTGTTATGCCTTATATAGACCATATGTTACTTTTTTTGGAGGGGTCCAGTTGTGGGGCCTAAACTCTGGGCCTGGGTACTGTCCCTCAGCTCTTCAGCTCAAGGCTAACGCTCTACAACTTGAGCCACAGCGCCACTTCTGGCTTTTTTTCTTTTTGTATATGTGGTGCTGAGGAATCGAGCCCAGGGGCTCATGCATGTAAGGCAAGCGCTCTATCACTGAGCCACCTTCCCAACCCCCATATTTTACTTTTATAACCATGTTTAGTTGTATATGTTGTGTTGCATACTTTTTCTGTTTTTTTTTTTTTTTCCCCCTCAATGTTACTGCTCTACCACTTGAGTAACAGTTCTACTTTCTCACCTTTTGGTGGGTAATTGGAGTTGAATCTCATGGTCATTTCTGCCCCGGCTGGCACAGAACCCTGATCCTCAAATCTTAGCCTCCTGAGTAACTAGGATTACAGGCATGAGACACTAGTATCCAGCTCTCTCTCTCTCTCTCTCTCTCTCTCTCTCTCTCTCTCTCTCTCTCTCTCTCCTCCCTCTCGCTCTGTCTCTGTCTCTCTCTGTCTCTCTCTGTCTCTGTCTCTCTGTAACATACTGGTGTTTAAATTAGAACTTCCAATTTGTTTGGCAAGTCCTCTATCATTCTTTTTCCAGGGCAGCCTAAACTTTGGACTGTGATCCTATTTATACTTCTGGCATAGCTGACAGGCACACACCACTATACCCAGCATTTTCTTTTCTTTTCTTTTTCTTTTTGCCAGTCTTGGGACCTGAACTCTGTGCCTGGGCGATGTCCCTCAGCTCTTCAGCTCAAGGCTAGCACTCTACCACTTGAGCCACAGCGCCACTTCCGGCTTTTTCTGCTTATGTGGTGCTGAGTAATTGAACCCAAGGTCTCATGCATGCAAGGCATGCACTCTACCACTGTGCTGCCTTCCCAGCCCCGATGCACAGAATTTTCTGTTGAAAATGTGGTCTCACAACCTATTTTTATCTGTTCAGGCCTTGAAGCATAATGTTTCTAATCTTATGTGCTGCTGTATACCTATCAGAACGTGCACAGAACACTATTGCAAATGCTTCTTGATTCTCCCATCTCTAAGTATGTTCATTACCTCCAGATGACACCACAGAGCAGCTTCAAGGGCAAACTGATCTTTAGGTCATAAACACCTAACAATAACCTAGGATAATGGTAAGAGAGGCAAAATGATTTGTGCAGGATGAGAGCAACGGTGACAAGGAAGGTATGGATCTGACCTAGAAAGGACTCCTGGAAGCTGAGACCATGCTGGCACCAAGGCTCAGCAGTGGACGTGGGGATTCCACAGACAAAGTGTGCTGCTGTGTACACATGAGCACATTGTGCTATGGAAGGGAGATTTCAGACTCCAGTTTGTTTTTGGGGAAGGTCTTATGTGAGGAATCAGCATAAGTCATTGGGCCCTGAGAGGATGACCCCACTTCTTCGACAATGGAATTGAATGTGGAACTCTGATAGGCAGAAAACTGTAACTAACAGTCTGGTCATGGGACACAGAAGCCAAAAATTCAGAGGCAAACGACCCTATAAACAAATAGCTTGTAAACCACAGGAGCAGTGTTCTATCTTTATATACTATATTCCTTAAAAGCAATAGTAAACAAAAAATACTAGTCAACCTCTCACCTCCATGAAATATTTCATTATAGAATAAAAAATAGTCTTCTCTTTAATAAAAATGAACACCTGTAAAAAGGTCTGATTATATGTGAAATGTTGGTTTTCGAATACTTCTTTGATTTTCCCACCTCTAAGGATTGGCATTAGCTCCAGATGACAGCACAGAGGGGTTCCAAGGACAAACATGTTAGGCTACAGAAGGTTAACAATGACTTAGGAGGTAGAAGCCAAAATATGTTTGAGAAGGACGTGGCAGTCAGAGAAGGCCGTGAAAGGCAAAAGGATTTGAGCTGGATGAGAGAAATAGTGACAGATAGGGCATGGATGTGACCTAGGACTGACCCCTGAAAGCTGAGTCCATGCCAGTACCTAGGCCTAGCAGATCAGTTTTAGACAAACAAGGTGTGCGGTTAACTGTGTCTACATGTACACATTGCAATATTGGGTGGATGGGAATATTTCTTGTGTGAGGAAGCGGCAGAGGTCATTGGGCCCTGACAGGTGACCCTGCCTCCTTCACAATGGGATAGAACACGGAACACTGATAGCAGGCCACGGTAACTCACAGTTGGCTCAAGCCAGCTCACTTGACCTGTGACTCAGGAACCAGAAACATGTTCTTGTGCTGTATTCGCAGGTCTTGAGACTCTGGTCTCAGCCAAGAGAAGGATGGGTGCCTCAGTCAAAGCTGTAGACACTGGATCAGTGGCAAGCCATGAAGCAACCATCTCAGAGATTTGTCCAAAAAGAAACCTAGGAAATCACAAGGCATCTCAGGCAAGGTATACTCATGATAGAAACCCTACTTAACCCCAACCCGACCCAAAGTAGAACCTTCTTAGGTGATTTGTCTGTGCTGGGATAATGCTTTCTGCCTAGTTTTCAATCCACTCTATCACAATTCATCCTTTGGAAGTGTTCTCATTTCCATGTTTTTTTTCTGATTCTTTTTCCCACCTTAGTGTGCCAATGAGTCAGGCCTGACCCTGAATGTGCCATGCAATATATGGAGCCCGGAGGCAGGCCTGCTGGACATGCTGGTGATGAACCTGGTCCCTGCCTACCAGAAAGGCAATCTCTTCTATGTTGGAAACTTCCTCCACAATTATAGACATTGGGGGACAATGGAGCAAGTGCTGGATATTGTGTTTAAAAAGTGAGTGTTCCCCCTTCAAACCCAGGGTGTTCAGCCCCAACTTGCTGAGTTGTGGAATAATTGGCACTGCTCTGAACCTGCTCATTTCACGGGTGTCTTCTCACAGAAGCTTGGCATGAGACAAAGAAATGCACATCTTGCCTAGTTTCTTAGTACTGGCCTGTTCAAGACATTTTCCTGAGAAGTTACTAGAAACTCAAAAGTCTGGTTACTCAGAGGCTAGGATTACAGGCATGTACCAGTGGCACTCAACTTCAGCCCTCACCTAGGTGAGGTTCATAGAATTACATTTCCCATTAGTAAATAAGGTTTCAGAAGCAATTGGAAGTCTGTGAAGTAATGTAGACAGAGGAAAAGCTTGGGGAGGCAGTGGTTGGTGAATTGGAGGCTGAATCACTTCTAAGCCATCAGGGAGGGATTATGTTGGCTTTACTTATTTATAACCCTGAGGCGTTTATGTTTTTGTGTGTTGTGCCAGTCCTGCAACCTGAACTCATTGCCTGAGACTGTCCCTTTGGTCCTCAGAGCTAGCAATCCAGCACATGAAACACAGGTGCAATTCTGGCCTTTCGAAAATTAGTGACTTTAGACTTTTGCTCACTAATGTCTGATCACACTATGATCTTGAGATCTCATGCTCTTGATTAGCTATGATGAGAAGCATGAGCCACTGGCACAATTACCTTGGACAGATGCATGTAAGTCTCATAGCAGATGCATATAAGTCTCTGAACTGTATAGACATATCTTACTTGTTTATGTGTCAGATTCCATTCCCATCTGGGAATGAGCCCATCCCATATGTGTCCTGTTTGGGCAGAAAAGGAGAAGCAGAGAGGTGACTTCCTCCTCTCTTCCCATAGGTACAGATTCCTGCGCCATAACTCTGAGAAAGATGAACAAGTAAAAAAGTAAGTGGACTGTGGCACAAAGAAAAGACCCCTTCTTTCGAAATGAGTACCTTTTAGACTTCTGACTGAAAGTGCTTATTTCTCATTTGCACACCACTTGTGCTTTCCACTAGGGGCAGAGGCTTGGGATTGGAGTGGTGGCAGAGGACACAGCTGTGGTGTGGTTGTGGACTCTCAGGAATGACAGGGAGGGCTGTGTGTACAAAATCAGTTCCTTCTTGTGACCTATCACAGTGAGAATATTGGAGAATTATCTTTCAGAAGCTTCTAGTCATGGCTGGTGAAGATCATTCTGCCTGCAGGAGTCTCCTCCTGCTTCCCAGCATGCAAGTGTGCATATAGCAGCCTTGCAGAAAGGGGCTATGGGAGGCCCAGGATAGGGAGGGCAGGCACTCACTCTTCTTGTCACCAATCTGCCCACAGCAGCCTTTGTTCCATCTTCACCATGTGGATGGACTGCTATCCTGCAGATTTCCGAGAGCCCCAGAACCGACACCCGGTGAAAGAACTTACCCACTATGCCATGCTCCACATGCCCTCCTCAGATCTGGTCCTCCATCTCCACCTTCATCTGGATGAGCTGGAGGAGACCGGGAAGAATGAGACCAAGAAACAGAGGAAGAAGTCCCTGTGTGGTCACCTCAGAGCTTGTGAGTAGGGATGGCGCCTGGGCCTCTAGGGATGGTCCTAATTGCCTGAGAGCCCTTATTACCCTGACTGGCAGTGTTTGTTCTATTCGAGAATGCACTTGGGTTTAGCCACTCTTGGGACAGACCTTACCTTCTCATCAGTGTTCAGTCCAAAGTAAACTCGTACAGCTTCCTCCATTAGAGCCTCATGGAAATTGAACTCCATCTTAACATCCAGAATCCACTCTCAAACTCCTTTACCGATTACTCTTCCTCAGGCTTTGGCCGCCATAGAGCAGCTTCTCCTGACCTCCCAAGAAAGAAGCCCTCGGTGATGTCAGGGATGGTGATGGATGGAGATCTGGAGCCATCACTGGACTCCACAAAGCATGTGCATGTAGAGGGGTTGGATGCATTTGCAGTCAGGCCCCAACGGGTTGTGAGTCCTGTGGATAAGACACTGGTTCTGAACCCCACATGTAACAGAGCTGAACCTGTAAGGACCCCAAAGAAAGAAGAAGGTAATAGTGATTGTCTTCCTGTGACTTTCACAGGCAGCCCAGATCAGCTCAAAAAGGGACAAATCAGCACGCCTCCTGGTGTGCTGGAGGGAGTAGCACACGTGGAGATGATGGAAAATGTCCCCAGTCTGTGCTCAGAGGAACCAATAAATGAGGTCCAAATGTTAGACGCAGCTCAGGAAAGTGAATCTGTCCTCACAGAACATCTGGCCAAATCTGTCCTGCTGCATCAGAACCAATCTCCAACTGAGAAATTAGAATCTGCCTCTCCCACATTTGCTGGAGCAAATCCTATCTTTCATGAGGAGGTAGATCCCTTGGAGGATTCTGAGGCAGAATTTATGTTTGAAGGCAACTTAGAAGCCGACCTAGCCTTAGAGCTTCCCTCCCCTCTCCCTGGGGATATCTCTCTTTTTCTTTTTGTCCTGATTGTTGTAAAATTTGCATTCTTTTTATTCTTCTAAATTTATTAAAGATATATGTTTATGTTGTAAAATTTATGGATGTTAAATACTCTAGCTTTTTCTACGTGTACAATCTGATGTCCCAGACACATGGTTCCTGAGTAAGGGCAAAAGACAGAGTGACCTGGAGCTGTCCAAGAGCACTTACTGGCTATAGAGGGAAGTGTTCCGTGCAGTGTGAGGGCCAAGGAACCCAGCCCATGCCTGCATGAGGTGATCAGGCCACTACTAAAGCTCTAGGACATAGCAAACCAGATGTCTTTGAAAGCTGTTCTGTCTATTGAAACAAATGCCAGGCTAAATGTCCTGAATGGAGGACCTTGTTCCATTAGTGAATTCAAGTCTATACGCACACCCATGTTGCTCTGTGCAAATATGTAAGAAAATTTCTCCTCAAAATAACATCAAAAAGGTACCTTGGGGCAAAAGAATTTGGCAAAATACATAGGAAATAGGGAAAAGCCATCATCAATAGAGGAAAGAAGACTTAGCCAGAGGGACAAAGACATGCCAGGTCTCCTGGCCCATCTCAATAATTCTAGCTTGAAGAGTGCCCTATACTTCCTCAGGATGGAGGTTCAAATCAGCCCCAATAAACAAATCTGAAAGACTTATCTAATGAGCCAGCAAAAGTCAGGACTTGTAGCATGGCTCAAATTACATGTCTAAGCATTGAACAAAAAATAAGCAAGAGCTCAAGGCCCTGAGTTCAAATTACACTACTGGCACAAAGGAGGAAGATATCTAGACATGGAATGTGGGCAATGGTAGCTTTAAACCATGGAAACAGAAAGACATATGAATAGGAAAATTACATATTTAAGCAATAAGTCCAGACATATAAACCATTGGTGAGTGAATGTGTGGCTGTTCACGTTCTGTGGGAGCATGCGGAATGATTTATGAAACTCCAAATCGATTCTAGCTAACCAAAAGAGGATCAGGATGATGTGGTACTATGTAGTGAATTGTAGAAGCATAGGAAATACATATTGGATATCCGTATACATTTTCTAAATGGAGTTGTCAGGGATTTCTTAGTCTTCCTGTCCATCTTCCTGTGCCAGTCTGTCTGTCTGTGTCTGTGTCTGTTTCTATCTCTCTCTGTATCTCTGTCTCTGTCTCTGTGTCAGTCTATCTCTGTCTCAGTCTCTGTCTTTCTGTCTGCTCTATCTCTGTTTCTCTCTCTCTCTGTGAGAGACAGAGAGAGAGTCTCTCGGTCTGTCTCTCTGTCTCTGTGTCTGTCTGTCTGTCTCTCTCTCTCTCTTACTCTCTCACTCTTCTCTCTCTCTGTTTGTTTGTGGAGCTTGAACTCATGTTGTGGGCACTGCCTCTGAGCTCTTCTTGCACAAGGCTAATGCTCTTCCACTTAGAGTCACAACTCCCCTTCCAGTTTTCTGGAGGTTAACTGGACAGGAGTCCAGACTTTCCTGCCTGATCTGCTTTTGAACCATGATCCTCAGATTTAGCCACCTGACTAGCTAGCATTACAGGCATGATCCACAGTGTCCAGTCAGGGAAACTTTTGAAAACCTGATTTTCTAAGAAATCACATCAATCTTTCATAGCAAAGGTTTGGAGCCTGACGTAAATGTGACAAGAAAAGAATTTCATCAGTCTGAGACAATTGAAGATCCTGGAGTGTTGTTTATTCTTGTTTTAGACTGGAACCCAGACCTGTACAAGCTACAGAAGTACTATACAATTGTCCTATACACTCAGAGTCTAGGGATTCATGTTTGTATAAAATGTTAGCTCTCCATCATGTAAACCTCCCAGAAATTATACATGACTTCTACATTTGTACTGGTGTTTCAACAACTATTATATTTATATAATTGTTGTTTTGTTAATCTGGTGGTAGAGGTGCACACATCTAATGAATTAGAGAGACTTCACAGGGAGAGATGAGGAACTTCAAATTGAATGCCAGCCAGGGGCCAAAACTCAACAGCTGGTCTGAAAATTAGCTGTAAATAAAGGGCCCAGGGCAGGGCCCAAGTCTTGGAATACCTGCCTAGTAAAACTGTATTGGGCAAAATGCTGACAGAACATTCGTTATAAATATATGAATATATAGTTTTGTGTGCATATACCATGGATTAGAAATAGATTAATATATTGCGTGTGTGTGTGTGTGTGTGTGTGTGTGTGTGTGGATGAACTGAACATAAGGAAATTCAGCAACTGTATGAAAAAGGCGCTGTGAGCTGGCCATCTGAGGCACAGGCCTGTGATCTTTGTGATTTACGAATCTGGGTTCTGAGTTTAAGGGACTCTTAACCCCAGGGCCTTAGATTGTGGGAGGGGTCCTGAGTCCCTCCAGAGTAGCAAAGGGATTTGCCCAGTGGAGTAAGGCTGGTGCGCATGCTCAGAGTGGAAATCCAGACTCTCCGGGATCGCCGTTGCAGCATGGTGAAGATGGATCTGGAGCAAAGAAGGCCACACTGAGGTCCTGTCCTGGGGGAAGCGATGAGGAAGGGCAGCCGTGGGGAAGGGAGGCCTCTCAGGAAAGCCCGCAAGGCCTTGTGTGCAGGGGGAACTTGTGGACGTCCTTTCTGGGGCTGGGGCCTGGCTGTGCCGCCCCGTGCGGCCTCCGCGGTCTTTTGGCGCCTGGCTCCGCCATGGTTGCTGTCAGGCCGGGCAGCGGATCCTCCCGTGCCTTGCCCGGCGTGGAGCCTGCAGGACGGCCAGACCCCAGCACACGGGGTGCAGGAAGCAGTGGGGTTTGCGCAGGTGTGCTGCTGGGAGGAAGGGCGGCGGGCTTTGTCTGAGGTGAGTCCCTTAGGTGTCTGGCTGGTCTGGAGGGGACACGGAGGTTTGGAGGAACGGCTTTCCTGGGGTCCGGGGAGTGTTTCGGGGTGATGGTGGTGTATTGTCAGTAAGGGTCATCGAATGCCTTAGCTTTCCCGCCTTGTTATTCCCTCTTGTAATGTATGTGTGTGCCAGTGCTGGGACTTGAACTCAAGGCCTTGGTGTCCTCCCTGACTCTCCCCTCTCCGTTCCCCTCCTCAGGGCTGCCACCCTACCACTTGGATCACAGTTCTGCCTCCAGATTCTGTTGATTTTCTGGAGATGGAAGCATCACAGACTTTGCTGCCCAAGCCGGCTCTTTAGCCTGACCGTGCAGTTGTGGATGAGAGTGAGCTGGAGGGAAGGGAGCCGCGACCATTGAGCTGGTGGGAAGATGTTCGTTTCGTGGGGCTTCAGTGCGGTGTGAGAACATTAGTCCGGGTGAGCCATGCAAGCTAAGCCCATCATATTCGTAGCTGGCTTTCGTGGTTGGTGTGCTGGGAATGGCTTCTCAGAGGTTCAGGGTTGATATTGGGGTGACTGGGCTGGGTGCCAGAGTGAGTTGAAAAAACAAAAACAAATACCGGGATTGAAAATCCTAGTGAATTTGTAATATGAAACTAACAAAAGTGTACCAACAACAACAACAACAAATGATGCTATGCAAAATGAATGCCAAGATATGGACACAAGGGGTTTTCTTTTTTGTCGTTTTTAATGTACCATGGGCTTTTTTTCTTTGTTTTCTTTGCATGGTACATCCCTGTTGTCACTGTATTTGATTTTGGTACCTTGTATCTTGTATATACATTTACCTAATATCTGGAGTGGAAGGGGTATAACAAATTAACCCATTGGGGGCTGGGAAGGTGGCTCAGTGGTAGAGCGCTTGCTTTGCATCCATGATGCCCTGGGTTCAATTCGTCAGCAACACATCAGCAAGAAGAAAAAGCCGGAAGTGGCGCTATGGCTCAAGTAGTAGAGCACTAGTCTTGAGCTGCAGAGCTGAGGGACAGCACCCAGGCCCAGAGTGCAGGCCCCATAACCAGACCACTCCCCCCCCAAAAAAAAAACACCAAAAAAACTAATTTACCCTTTGTAACAATGAGACTCACAAGACACTAGGTTGGAAATGAACTTATATTCGAAATAAAACTGCTTTTTTTTTAAAAAAATGAGTTGTTTCTTTTTTCATCCAGGGATTTGAGCTGAAGGACTGGGTGCTGTCTTGGAGTGTTTTTGC